CTCACCAATATCTCATACATTTGCATATAAAATTTATGTGCATGTACAAGTCAAGATCCCACTGAATCTGTGTGTTTTGATAAGTCGTCAAGAAAAGATGGAATAAATAAGCTTGTTAGTTGCTGAGCCCAGTGGTTGTTACAGGCATGTCTCTCAAATGTTTCAGCACAGCACAGAAGTTTCTGATGTGAAGAGCCATTTATTAAACCATTCCATTATTTTGGGAATAGGTAGGACTGATGCTCGGAATAAATTAGCAAAATTAAACAATCTAGATTGTCAAAAGCCCATCTTAATTATCTAAAGCACAAGTAATACCGTTTCTTGTAAAGGCTTGTTACTGTATTGGCAAAAAACTATGTGTGTACATATATCTAAATGAATATATTTGACTATTGCTGATATCTGGTTTTCTGAGCAGCAAAATAGATCTCAAAACCCGTTCTCTTACCTAAGTTTTTATCTTAACACCCTGGAAAGCAATTTCACTAACAAAAGCTGACATTAGGATACCAAATTAAAAGCTGATGAAAACTAGGAAAATAAAAGACTTTCTTTTTTTTTGACATTTACAATTAATGCCACAAAAATGTTAGTTTAGTCAGACAATATGGGTGCTTACAAAGGTGAAACTGAAAGTTGCCAGCCCTGAATCCTCACGTAAAAGTTAATAAATTCATCTCGTAATCATTATGCACATGCTAGTTATAATAATTTACTGTCCATACCAAATCTTTATAAGCATTGTAATTAAATATAAAATGCACATTAGAATTATAATGAGTAATTAGGGCAACATAACTAATGTGCATAAAAGTCCCAATGCTCATTAAAATGTAAAAAGGGGAAACCTGCTCTAGCTGGAGTTTTAGCGTGTTCTCTGTGCCTGTGAATGATAGGGATTTTTTTAACTGTTGCCTTAGGCATTTAAAAGCAAAATGAAACTACCTGGAAGGGGACCAGATTCAGCAGGACTTTGAGTCATTTCTGGATGAAACTTAAGTTGTAAAATTCAGTTTTCCAGCACAAACACCTGAGTCACGCGAAGGTGTTGGGGGACAAAGATGTGCAGAATCAGAATCATAGAAAGGTTTGGGTTGGGAGGGACCTTTAAGCTCATCTCGTTCCACCCCCTGCCATGGGCAGGGACACCTTCCACTAGACCAGGTTGCTCCAAGCGCTGTCCAGCCTGGCCTTGCACACTGGGCTTTGTAGGGTGAGACCTGCACAGGCCCCACACAATGACACCGAACCCCAGGCAAGCCTGGGGACATCTGGCATCGCCTCCAGTGCCTGTTGGGTCCAACTCTCCTCACTCACACACTTCTTCTGACAGATCCCTCATGTGGGGATACATAAATATGTATTTCTAGGGAATAATAAATATGTATTTTGGCTCCAGCCCAGCCTTCCCTCCTGAGCCACCTCACACAGGGACAGACGTGAAGGGTGTTGGTGAAGCTCCAGTGAAGCCACGGCTCTGACACCCTCTCCAAATAACCTTTCCCAGCAAAGCACTCACATGGATTTGAGAAATGGATATTAAATAAGTTCCAGTAATGTATTTCCAAGTCAGAAATTAGGCATTTGTTTTAAGAACCTTTCTCCACAGGGTTGAACCATGGGAGAAGATTAAACAAGGATCCACTGAGGGAGACTAAACCTACAAACATGAGTCACAGAAGCCCAGTGCTGCTGACAGATTTATAGCAATCATATTCTTTTCTCTATTATTTTATATAACCATTATTTAGGAGATATAAAAATGACAAATACCTTTAAAATTATTAGTTTTGCATGAGGTTTTCTTGTTAACATCACTGTTCGATTTGACTGCAGTATCTCTGTCAGTCCCTTGACTTGTCTGGGATAATCCCCACCTTGGGAACTCAGCAAGGGTTTTACCCCCTTCCCTCCTTCTGCAGCCTCTGCCAGGTTTCCCTCTCTCCTGGTGCTCTGCACCTTTGAGACAAGGTGTTACTTTCTTGCTGGCTTGTTTATTATTATTTATAGTGAAGGGCTCAGGCACAAGGCTGTGTCTGCAACGCAGCGGGAGTCTCTTCCCACAGAACTAGTGGAGGGGAAACCCAGTGAAGGCATTAGTTGTAGGAGTTTGAGGGAAGGCTGCAGCTGGAGCCTCACCTGTCCCACACCTCAGAGGATGCCAACAGCTGCAGCTTGACTGACAGCAATAAAATCAGCTCCCAAATATCTCCTCAAAAATGAGTCCTTTTGACTGCATAAAAAAACTACATTAAAATAAATATATATATAATAGTGATGATCTGAGAATCTCTCCCAGGAGTTTGTCTCTTCTCTTTCCAAAGCAGGCCTTGGCAGTGAGAGCAGCAGGTTTTAGCTGTGATTTCAGCTGGAGTATCTCGGTCTTCCACCCCCATGGCAGCAGGTGGATCTGGTGGATTTTTGGCTCAGCTCATTACTAATCAGTGCTCCAGGAACACACCTGCATCAGACTAAAAACAATAAAATAACCTGACAGTGATAAATCCAAGAGAATGGTGGCTCCAAGCGATCCCTGGGTTGTGTTTCCATACCTGTATTAACCAGGGATTTCCTGGAGCAGGGAACATTGGTTTTATTTCTAACTCTGAAGAAACAGAATCTGAAATCTTTCTGAAAGGGAGATCTAAGAAAACTCCCTCTTCAGAAATTTTCCAGTAGTTTCCAAGCAGAAACCTCACCAGATAGCAAAGCCTGGAATCGTTGCGTATGGCTGGGATGCAGCTGTAATCCCTTCCCAGCTGCAATGGGAGCAAGGGCCCTGAGGCTCCTGCCTGAAGAAGGAGCAGCAAGCTGTACATTTTTATGCATCATTTCATTTTAAAACATATTGTCAGTGATGTTCTGCATTATGTAAAAAGCATCCAAAGCAAAAAAATCCCTAAAAACAACACAAAACACCAAGCAAAAGGTGAGTAGACCCCAGAGGTAGCACGAAAGTGGTACGTTTTAGAGAAAAAACCTCTGTACACAACTCAGGCCTTTTCTTGTCTCTTATTCGCTCTTCCAGTGGTCACATCTTTCGTACAACTTGAGTGAAGGAGTGGGAACGCTTTACATGTCCCTGTTATTTTTATGGATTAACAAAACCAATGTGTTTTTTTCTATGCACGTTATGCAGAAGTAGTCCTGTAAATTGCTTAAACACTTATTATCTCCTGGAAATTTGAATGTTACCAGTTGACAGTTAATGAGTTTCTGGGTTGGTTTGTTGTAATCATCAGGTGTGTGATGAGGGAACCTGCCTATCACTGTTTTGTCATAGACCTGATGCTTCTTTAGTGGCAGGTTTGTGTAAAATATTCAGATCTCTTAAATTGTGTCAGAAATGAGGGGTTTGGCTGTCTAAAGAAACACCATCAAAGGTATTGGCAAAAGCAGGCTTAATTTGAATTTGTGAAAATGTGACTTTACAGAGTTGGGTGTCAAGAGTTGCTCTGTTACTGCCCATGTTGAAGCACACACAGGAAGATCAGATCAGAAGCCATTTGGAATGACTAACACAGAAGCTGGGAATGCAAGAGAGAGTGCAAAGGGTATGGGCGCAAAGATAACGCTGCCAAAGGGTTTAGCAGCACTGAATCACTGAGCACTTTAACATTTACAAAGCGATTTGATAGGTTTGCTGTAGTTATAAAAATGCCTTAACTCTGGATTTGGGACAGGAATATTCATCCCAGAATTAATTCCCATGCACGCGGTTAAAGCCCTGTGTGCTCCCGTTTCCAGGTGTGTAAAGGCACCTGTTGAAAATTCCCCTGTGTTGGTTCTGACTGTTCCCACCTGTACCATGCATGAGCTCCTGGTGGGATCAGGGAGTGTCTCAGGCTCCACTGGGAAGTCAAGGGATGTTTCAGCACTCAGATGGTTCTGTCAATGTTTATCAGGAGCTTCTGAGGTCAGGTCAAGATGGGGTGGGGATGCACCACGACAACATAGACGATGAGCAGTGGGTGAGATGGTGCCGAAAGCAGACGTGAGGCAGTCAGAGCTCCACGTGAACATAAACACCTTGAAGCAACATCTGGAAAACTGCTTGGGAAAAAGTAAACAGATTTTTATTTATAAGTTCTGTGGTTTGGTTTTTATAGTGTTTTGATGATGCACATAAATTATTGTATCAAACTAGAAAACATAAAAGAAATTCCAGGGGGGAGGCAGTTGTTCCCTTTGATAATCTCTTTCCTGAGGAATTTGCTGTGTTTTATTTTCAGCTCACTGTTGCCTTTTGCTGGCAACTGGAAAACCTGACAATGGCTTTTTATCTTTATTTGTATCTGTGGTTCTAAGCTCAGTATGTTCATTACTATTTACAGTGTTTACTATTTAAAAAGACAAAATACATTTACTAAAACAACGCTATATCCCTTGCAATGCTGGGAAAGTCACTGTTCTGTGAGATTGATGGGTGGCTCATCATCTTGAAGGTTTATTTCTTAAATATGCAAAACAAGGACTCAAAGGCCACCTGAGCTCCAGGGTTTATGTGCTGTTTGCAGGTGCCATGATGCAGGAGGTAAGAGGTGCTGGAACTGGGGACCCTGTGGCCTGGGCACTGCCTTGGCACTGCTGTACCCTCCCAGTGCCAGGGGCCCTCGGCTGAGCCCAGTGGGAGCCTCTTAGTGTACCAGTGTTGGGGTTTCATGTGCTTCTTTCCAATTCCCAGGATTTACGTGCATCTTGTATGACACTAATGCTTACAGTTGTGGTTTACACCGAGTAACTGTTGGACAACCAGCTTTTTTTCAGGATTGGATTGATATCTCTCCATGTCTCAGTTGTGTTTTTACACCAAACATATAGGTCAGATCTCAGAATCTGCGGTGTGAGGTAATTTTGACTCTTCTGGAAGCAAACGTGGTTGAATGTGAACCAAGCTGGAGACCACTCGCGCCAGGCCGAGCGCGCCGAGGAGCAGCGGCGCTGAATGATCTGCGTGTCCAGATGCCAACATCCATTTTACAATTCTTTTCTTTCAGTTGCCCCCACAATTCAGGAACTTAAATCCAGCGGTGTGGTGCTTGGAGGGAACGGCCTGATACGGTGCGAAGGTGCAGGAGTTCCTGCCCCGAACTTTGAGTGGTACAAAGGAGAGAGGAAGTAAGTAGCCGGTGCTGCCGGGGCTGTCGCCTGCCCATGGGGACCAGGGTGGAAGAGAGAGGAGCCGCCAGGCTGGGGTTGTCCCCATGGTGACAAGTCCAGCAGCTTGGCCTGCAATCAATGCCGAGCTCCAGCAGCGGGTACCTGGAAGCGTTGGCTGTGCAGTTCTGGGGGAGCAGCTCAGTCTCCTCGTGGTTGTATTTCCTGCTCTGGACACAGGCTGTGCTGGGCTCTGAGAGTGATAATTGCAATAACAGCCTAATGTTCAAATATGCTTTAGTAATTACAGCCTCTTAAGTATAATAAAAAATAGCACTGAAAAAGCTACTAAAAGGATTTATTTTTTTTAATTAATCTTCCCAGGTTTCCTGCTGTGGGTTTTGGGGTGGAGAGGTTGTTTCATGAGCAAGACTTTCAACCAAATCTTCCTGTGTATGGATTTTCACCCAGTTGTGCCACTAGTGGTCTAGACCATGGGTCTGTATTCCACAGAGCTCTGCAGGTCACTGCATCCAAGAGTGGGTCCAGGGAGTGCTCCTTGCTTGAACCCTAGGAATTTATTCTGTGCTTTGAGTTTGTTTGCAGCCAGCTTCACTTCCAGGTCATTAGTGTTATGGAATGGTAACAGGAATCTCTGTAGACTCAGCTTTATTTTAAAACCAGCTCATTAAACAGGTAGATATTTTCCATTTTTAATAGGACATTGGGTTTTTCAGCTCTTGGCTTGTCTAAGAGCTTATTTCTGGTAGGTTCTGATGTCGGTGCAAAAGCAAGTGGATATTGTCCCTTGTAACTTAGTGTCAAGCTTTTGGAACTTCCCAGCTTCCAAGTGTTGGGGTTTCTCAGCTCAAACATCCCCCTAAACCTGGGAGCTGACAGGAGAATATTAATGACCCTTTTTCACAGAAAGCCATCTGTCAGCTCGTTTCTCAGCTGCTCCCCTCCCTCAGCGGGAGCTGCTCCTCCTCCCTCTTCACTTTGCTGAGCAGTCACAGCTTTGCACTTCACCCTATCCTAAAACATTCTCTAAAACCTGACCTTTATGTGGCAGGAACTGGTTTTCCTCTGTTGGTGAAATTCAGCTGGATCCTGTTTGCAGAGATGCCCGTTGTGTTGTGCCTATCCTGGGGGGAGTTGCAGCACGAATATATTTTGTGTAGGAAATATTTCAGCGCAGTTTTAGCACTCTGGATTCAATCAGCCCTTTCCAGCGTGCTAATCACCTTTCTGTTTATAACACTGACCAAATTCCTTTCCCGTGAGTGCACTCAGTGCCAAGGCAGCAGCAGGAAAAATGAAGCAGAGCATTTCAGGACACCAGAGTTGTGCTTCTGTCTCAGTTTCATTTGGTGTTTCACCTCAGCAAGAACAGTACTGTCCTGTTGGGTTTTGCTGCTTAAATGTTGTGTTATATCTCACACTCCATCCTTTTTAGGAGTTGGACTTTTTTGATTCTTGTGAGTCCCTTCCAACTCAGGATATTCCATGAACTGTTGTTGGCAGATGACTACAAAAGTGCTGGGGATTTCTGAACCCCCTTCACTTGCAGGAAGGAAGGAAATCCATACACGCTGTTTTTTCCTTCAGTATATCCCCTTTCCCTCTGGATGATGGGCAGCCACCACAAGATGAGCCTTGGGCAGCTCAGTCACTGGTTTAATGCAAAGCTCTCAGAGGTAGCTCAGAGTAGCATCTACATTATCAGGCAGATAATTTGCAGCTGTACTCCAAGACTACATTTATCCCCTGGGAATGCACACCCTGCTGGATTTTCTGTTAACAGAATAGAGAGAATCCCATTTGCTTCAGATACTCTTGGACTGGGACTTGTGTTTTTGGACATCTGAAACCCTAAGTGTATGTTCAGTGTCTGAAACAAGCCTTTTGGGCCTATAAACTGTACTGTTGTTACTTAGATTAATGTAAATCCAAACTCACCATTTCCAGGCTCAAGGGATCATCTTATCATAAAAGAGCCATTAAAGCCTGTAACAGACTACATTAAGTTAAAAATATTAGTCTTTGAGGCAGAGAGGCTAATTCTGCCTAGTCACTGAGTTCCCAAGGGCTGCTGTTTGATAACTTTCTATAGGTGCTGGTGCCCAAGGTGGGGTGAGCTGGGAAGAGACAGAAAGTCTGGGGGAGAAGTTAGTAAAAGCATCTTAAAATTGTCATTGGTTTGGGTTGGAAGGGATCTTAAACCCATTCAGTCCCACCCTTGCCATGGGCAGGGGCACTTTCCACTAGGCTAGGTTGCTCCAAGCCCTGTTTAGCCTGACCTTGGACACTTCCAGGAATGCGGCACCTCCAGGGTTGGGGCTTTATAAATGTGTATGGCTTCTAAAATTGTAGCAGGATTCCCTGTAGAGAGGAGAATGACTTCACTATGCCAACTCCAAAATCCACGTCTGTTCAGTGTGTTATGTTTAGGGTTACACAGAAATTAGATTTCAGACATTAAACAGCCACAGGGAAGAAGCCCAAAAGTCACCTAAATAAAATATTAAAGTATTAATTCCCTTTTCCTTCTCAAAGCAAACAAGACACACATTTGAAATAACAAAACTCATTATAGGGGCTTAATATATTATAATAAGGTGAAAGTATTCAAATTTGAAACCAAAGGCAGGTACCCCCTGGGGGCTGGCACTGATGCATGAGCTCTGGATGTGCGGGAGTAATCTCTGGAATAAAAAGGAAATCACTCTTCCCTTTCTAACTGGTGCAAAGCAGAAAGGAGGTGAAGGAACACGTGGGGTGGCTGCACACAACTTAAAATGCCATTCCAGGCTGGGAAAGAACTTGGTGAAACCCAGACGAGTGATAAATGTGTGTTCAGTCAATAAACGAAGCTGAGCAGCACACGGGAGCAATTAATTTAAAAGTAAAAGCATCTGCTTCTCACAACTGCAAATGGAAACCCTCGGAACTGCTGAGTTTATGCAAACTAATGCCAGCTCCTCGCTCCATTAATTGCCTGGCTTATTGATATGCACATCTACTCAGTTCCATTTACTCCAGAACCTCCAGTCCTGGGCACCAGCATCAGCCACTTCCAGCAGGGATATGGAGGGATGGTAATGTGGGAGAAGTGGGAGAGGAAGGAGGGGCAGGAGTAAGAGGAAAAGGGCTCTGAGCTGGCACCCACAGATCTCATCCTCTCGGCAGCCTGGGGAGGCAGCAGGTCACAACAAGCAGACACAGTTATTTTTTGAGGCAAATGTCACCCCTTACAGGGCGTGGGGACAGCAAAATTCCCACCCCTGCAATGTTTTCTGGACAATGAGTTAAACCTTACAACTATAAAACAGAGATGCTGTAGTTCAAATTGTGGTTATGGGCCAAAGGGGTGGAGGTGGCTTGGAAAGAGCAGGTAGGAACCATGGAATCTCAGACTGGTTTGGGTTGGAAGGGACCTTAAAACTCATCTCATCCCACCCCCTGCTGTGGGCAGGGACACCTTCCACTAGATCAGGTTGCTCCAAACCCCATCCAACCTGGCCTTGGACACTTCCAGGGATGGGGCAGCCACAGCTTCTCTGGGCAACCTGTGCCAGGGCCTCACCAGCCTCCCAACAAAGAACAAGCCATAAGTGGACAAGGAGCTGTGATTCCAGTACCCCAAGTTTCCCTGGGAGAGGGGCAGGGATCAAACCCTGAAAGGCAGCAGGAAGGGATGGTGACCATGGCTGCAGCTCCTGCCCCCTCCCACTGTCACTGTGTGTGAACCACGATGTGATGGGTAGGTTTGGGAGTGGAGGAGGCTCTTGAGATTGTGTGCATGAGAGGCAGGAAGCGAAGGGACATTGGTGGGTTTAGAAGAACATCCATGTGCATAGGCTGAATGGACAAACTTCTGCCTTGCACAGGAAGAGATGAATCTTCCAACTGCAGTGCTCACCTCCAACCAGGCACTTCAATCCCATTTCTTTTACGTTTCATGCAAAACCCTGTGCCACATCCTCTCCCCAGCCATGGGCTGGAGGAGCAGAGTCCTCTACACCAACACAAGCTGCACAGGGAAAAGAAGTCCCCATGAGTGAGCAGCCTGTAGTGGGAAAAGAGGCACGCACGTGACGATGAGTGTTCAGCCCACAACATGCCAAAGTGCAATCAATGACAGATTTGTGAAGGTTTTTAGACAGAAAGGTAGAAGATTGCCTTAATTCCCAGGATATACCATTATATATTCCAATATAGCAGACAAAAATTGTATTCTTAATCTAAAACTCTGCTCATGATGGGAAATATAAGGAATTAAGAGTAATAACCATAGTGAGTTTTTTAATAACGTGGTTACCCTTTTCATCTCCTTGTTTGATCAGATGTGGTTTGCCTACAACAACACCATTTAAGTTGGTCATCTGGCTTTGCCTCGGTGCACCAGCGATGATTCTGACATGGCTTTGGGAGCAATACCAAAACACCTGCACATTTCCTGTTAAATTTGGGGTAGGAAGCTTGAAGATGGGTGAAAAGAGCCCTGATTTGGCTTTTTCCTGCGCTTGGTTCCCTGGTTCCTGCCGAGGTTGCTGACTCGGCACATGTTCCTAGTTGCACGTCTGATTTGCAGCCCTGTAAAACAAACTGTGGTCACAATCCCACAGTCACATTTCTGGCTCCTAATCCTCACCTGCCATCAGCTGGTGGTGAGAAAGGAGACAACAAACTCCGGAGTCTGAAAAACACTCTTTGAAGGACTTACTGTAATACTTCTCTGCCCCAAAGAGGGTATTTCAATTTCCAGTTGGATTTTCCCAATTCACAATCTAGGCTCTCCATCTGCGAGTTTCTATCCCACACTCTGGCAAGGCAGGAGGGGATGTGGGTCTTTATTTTCTTTCAGCTATAGGACACACAGGGAGCAACTCTTCCCCTCAATACCCCCAGCTCCAGCATTGCATGTGGCCTCTCCGATGTGGGAGTTTTGCTCAGCAGATGACACTGGCAGCTTGCAAAGAGCTGATGGTGATGTCAGTGGTGTCTGTAAAACAAGAAAAATAAAGAGATAAAAAAAAAGAAAATCTTGGTTATGGTATATGAGTTATAGACATTTTCTTTTTGCCTTCTAGACTGATCAATGGTCAACAAGGAATCACTATTAAAAATTATAGTACAAGATCACTTCTTACTGTTACCAATGTGACAGAAGAGCACTTTGGCAACTATACATGTGTCGCTGCCAACAAGCTAGGGACGACCAATGCCAGCCTGCCTCTCAACCGTAAGTAACGTGGACATGTGGCCAGTGTTCATGGGTGTTTGTTACACAGACATGGATTCAAAAGCCAAAGAGTAGCTGTGTGTTTTTCTCCCCTCTAAATACCATTGCGTTCCTCAGTACTGGAAATGATGCACCTGGTTGATTATCCCGTGCCGCAGGAGGGTTTCTGCTCTGAAAGCGGTGGCACGTTTTGGGGATATCGATGAGTTATGGATCTACCAAAAAACTCACAGCTAAACCCAACCCGCCATCGTGGGGTAGAGGCAGAATTGGCACAGCAACATCTTTCTGCTCAGAAGAGCAATGACAGATCCCTAAGGTACCACTGTAAACAAAGGTTAGAATATTTCACAAGGATTTCCAACAAGGAATATCCTGAGCTGAAGAACTGGGATGTGCTGGAGTTCTGCTCACACCTCAGTTTGTTGGTTGTTGGCTTCTGGTGCAGGAAAGTCTCAGAGGACTTGAGGTGAAATCTTTTGGAAAAGACAATAAGCATTGTAAGAGGCAAAGCATCGGGATTTTCAGCATGGAGGTTGCCTAAATGGGTCTCAGATATCCTGTTTGGAAGGTATTTTTATCTGTGAATTGGTAGTGTTTCATTTTGTTCAATATTTAGCCTTCTGCTAATGGCATCCAAAGATGTTCAGAGTTGAACTCTGGTGCTGAACTATCTGTTCTGATAGTGAATAAAACTGAAAGACAAAACTCAGGATATATCTCACATGTTTTTCTCCACATAAAGATACTCCTTACCGAGCAAAAATGTACATTTTCAGTTGCTTAAATCCTGCAGTTATTGCCTTCTAGCCATGAAACTTCCTTCTGAACATATTCCCTGTATGATGTGTATTGTCAGGTTATTCTAAATTTCTGCAGAAGAACTGTAATAGGCAGAAAAAAGCACAGAGCCTTGGCTGCCATATATTTAATATTTGAGGAATCATTAACAAAGGGGGAACGACATTGCACTTACTTTAAACAGAAAATGCAAGTGAAAACAAAGGAACATTATGCCAGAAGGAGATGGAGTTTGGTGTATTTGCAATTCAGAGAAGGGAAAATGAAGGTCTGGCTTCATTTGAACAGAGCAGAGCCGAATCTGTCTCTGAGCTGCTGCCAGGATATTATCAGTCTTGTATTGTGAGGGGCCATCCTTAAAAAGCACTTAGGGATGCAGAGGTTGAAAATGTCACGTAAGTACCAAGTACCTTGTTACAAATCATAAAAATAGATGTTCTCCATCATGAAAGAAATGGGACGTGTGAAGTAGAATGGTCTGAGAGAAAACGCTGAAATCTGGGTCTAATCCTGACCTCAAGAAGGAAATGGAGGATGATCTTGGCTCAGAGGTTTGACTGAAAGACAAAGATGAAATGTCTTATTTTATACTACAATTTTTTTCTAATATAGTCAAAAAAAGGAGAGATTTCTGAAGGTGGTGATCTAGATTTGGTTCGGAATTAAAATCATTTGGTAGAGATTTTTCGTTGCTGATAATTTACATTAATCATATCTAGAAATATTATAACTATAAAAAAAATCACAGGGTAACAACTTGTTAAATGTGTATTCCTTAATCCTTCAGAGAGAATTTTCTCTTGTGAAGCTCTACTTACATTTAATTTTTTTGGCAACGATAGCAGAACATATGTGCTGGTTCAGGTATGTGCGAAGGAACTGGGAGCAGTTCCTGGCTGGTTGCAACATTCAGTAGTCAAATGTAGGGTTCAATGTAATTTGATTTCATGTTACTTGAAAAAAGTGTTAAAAATTAGAGTTTATGACTTATTTCAGTGTGTGTTTTTAGTCTGTAATTGCATTGGGGAGATACAGTCTGAGGTGCAGTTTTGGGCATCACAATATAAGGAAGATGTGAAGCTGTTAGAGAGTGTCCAGAGGAGGGCAATGGGGATGGGGAAGGGCCCTGAGGGGAAGCCGTGTGAGGAGCAGCTGAGGGCACTTGGTCTGTTCAGCTGGAGGAGACTGAGGGGAGACCTCATTGCAGTTACAGCTTGCTCGAACAGGCTCTGCTCTATGGGCACTAGTGGCAGAGCCCAAGGGAATGTCCTGAACTTGTGTCAGGGGAGGTTTAAGTTGGATCTTAGGAAAAGACTCTTCCCCCCGAGGGTGGCTGGGCACTGAACAGGCTCCCCAGGGCAGTGGTCACAGCACCAAGGCTGCCAGAGCTCCAGGAGTGTTCGGACGATCCTCTAGGGCACATGGTGTGACTCTTGGGGATGGTCCTGGGCAGGGCTAAGGATTGGACTCGATGATCTCTGTGAGTCCCTTCCAACTCATGTATTCTGTGGTTCTGTGATTTTATGTTTAATGGTTGGAATAACATCACTGGTGCAGTGATTTGGGACCTCCACCACACATCCTGCTGCTGTCCCATGGGAAACCACCACAGATGTGCAAAGACATGGGAGAGGTTGTCACAACCCTGCAGCTGGAGCACTTGGACCCTTGAGTGTGGATACCTGAGCTTTGACCCTGAGCACAGAGCACCCCTCTGGTATCACGGTATCAGCAAGGTCTGGGATCAGCACCTTGTCCAGCATCGCTGGGAATTTGCCAGTTGGCTACTTCTTTCTGATCTTAGGTTGGAGTTTTTAATAATAATGTGTGTAGCAGAGTTAGAAAATCTGTATTTTTTTCTTTGCACATCCCCCTGTAATACATAAATGACACAGAAGCTGTGCACAGATGGGGACCTTTCTCAGGCACAGGACTAAGCCCCTTCTCCACTACTGGTGTCTGAATTCAGTGCAGATATAAAACTCCAGGATACCAGAACAAGGATTATTTCATCTACTATGGAGAGGCTCTGGGTTTCTGTGATCCATCAAGGCAACCTTGAGCTAACAGAAAGTCATGAAGCAGGTCAGGGGGTGTCAGGACAAGGTACAAGCTGACTTTGTGTGGCTGGGACATGGACTGAACCAAGGAGATGGGAGGTTAATAAAGCTGTCCCAGATGGTGCCCGTGGGGTGATGAGGCAGGAGGAGAACCTGTCTGGGGTTTGGCTAGTCCCCAGGGCCAGAAGACACCCAGCAGGGACACTCAGAGCTGCTTCTGTCCTGAGGACAGGCAGCCAGATCAGTTTGCAGAAGAACCTTGTGTCTGGGGAGTTATGAACATCCCAGATCCCAGGAACATGCTGGAATTTATCATCTCCCTAACTGAGGACTTGTTGGCCATGTCTAAGATCCAACTATTAATAATAAATGCAGCAGCTGTAAAAGAGAAAGTCAGAGCCTTGCGGGGAAAATGCAGAGAAGCAGTGGTTCCAAAAAGTGAATAATGAATGGCAATTTGCTAATTATTCATGGCTGAGTCCTCTAGATCATCCAACTGCGTTGGGTTTTGTGGGGAAGCGTTTGAAGTGCATGATCCCCCTGGAGCATCCACGGGAGGCGTGTTTGGACAGTCCCACACTGGCATCTCTGGGCCTAATTGATCAGATATTTAGCACTGCCTACGCTGGCTGTTCCCAGAATTTCTGATACTTAAGAAGAAGAAAAATGTAGTCCTTTCCTGTAAATAAAGTTTGAATTTGCTGATTCATTAAACCCAGGAGATGAGGCTTTACGGCACAGACCCGGGGCAAGAGGTTCCCTCTCCAGGGGTGAGGAGGCAGCGAGGAGTGATGGAATAGCCCTTTTTAATTAAGTACATTTGGCTTTTAAATTAGTGCAATCTTAACTTGAGACAAAAAGCATTTTCCTACAGACAGATTTGCAAGGCCATTGTGAGGAGAGGAATTGTCATTAACCATTGGCAACCAAAGGAGGTTTATTCTGGCGTTTTTCTTAAGCAGCCAAAACTGAGATGAGTCTATTGCTGCTAAAGCAGCCACGTCCTTCTACAGGTGTCTCCTGTCCTCGTGCTCTCCTGACTGGAGGCCACAGCTGGTGGTGGATTTCCTTTCTCTTACCCCAGCTGAGTTGTGGCAGAAGGTTTTTCCTTCCTTTCTGTGACAAGGATGAAGGTGGACTTCAGCCCCTCTCCCCACAGTGGTATGTGGGGTGAGATACTGCCACCACAAGCACCTGTGAATGGTGGAGATCCCAGGCCAGGCATGGCATAGGGTTCAGCTCAGCTCCGCAGCACCAGAGTTGCAGTCTTAAATTCACTGTGACATCTGGTCTCTGTGTGTCCCCTGAAGACACATTACCCACAAGTCTGGGTTCACCTTGCAGAAGATTAAAATAATCATTACTCCTCTATTAGACGTGTGTATTCTTAAGCAAAGGTATTATTTTTATGTTCTAAAGAGCACCTTCCCTAATATTTTTAACAATCCTACAAATAATTTGACTGGTAAGAGGCACATTTCCTAAGAAAACTTGCAATTCAGAGGAAACATCCATGTCCATTCCTAATAGCTGCCAAAGGAATTACTTCTTTCCATGGCTGGTTGTATAATGCAAAGATATTACTCATGTCTAGGTTTATACAGAAATCTGAGATACGTTGCCAGTAATTGTGCAAAAAATGTAAATAGTGGGGAATAGCTGCCCAAAAGTTCAGGAGGGACATTTGGAAGGAGAAGGAGCCTGGCAAGGTGTGCAAGAGATGTGGTAGTATTTTCTGTACTAATTTAATCACTGCAGCTGAATGCAACTGCTTTACTGAGGAAGCATCCGACTGTGAGCTCATGGTTGGTGCAACACACTTATAATCTTGTCTCCAACATTCCTACGTGCTGGGAGCGCCAGACCGTGCCCTCAGTTTACGTGCTGATTGCCTTGTGTACTGATTCCTACACGGAGATTCCTAATTAAACTGCTGGATTCATATTATTAATACATCGGGTTTCATATCGGAAATGTAAATAAAATTAATATTCTTCCAAAAATTTAAATGAACTCATTAGGAATTGCACACAACCTGTGACAGTATGCACATTCCTCCATGACACTGTGAACAGTTGGTGTGGCATTGGCTGTGTCTGCTGGAACATCAGTGATGCAGAGGGATCGAGGGGCTCTGCA